AATTATATGATAAAATCTTTCTGGCGAGTCCTGCAATAAAGTAACGTCACATCACCAATATACAGCATACATTTGGTAAAACGACTCGCAAACTATCTTTATTTATTAATCATAAGAAATAGCAAAGATAAACTTAAAAAACATTTTGATATATGGCGCAGTAGTCACGTGGCGTGAATCATAGTTCACGTGATCTACAAAGAATTTATAGTTCCCGAATAAAATAAGATATAATACTTTTGATTTGAGTACCTGTAAGCTTTGAAATATTATCCACACTATAGGATTGAACCCTCTTGACTTTTTTAATCCCTATTTTATTGAATAATTCGAAAATATTTCTTGCCTTCTGTGTCTTCTTACGTAAATTTTCTCTTATAATGTTTGAAAGATGTTTTAAAATTGCATTATATACCTGGGTCTGTTGATCTTTAACTATCTTATCATTATCTTTAACATCCTTAACACTTTTTTCAAATCGTTCAGCATATTAGTACCAACAGTGAATTTTCTCTTGATAAGCTTGAGTAACACGCTTTTCAGCCTTAATTGCTTTTTGGAATAATCGAGCTAAATTCTGCGAGATCGATCCTCAGAATCCTCATCCTTATTATTGGTTTCAGTAGTCTTCCCCTTAATAGGTGTAGATAATTCATGTAACAATCCTCGAAATCTTTCCTATTCACAATTGGTTCTTGGGGATGTTTCTCTTGATGATCAGATTTGTATATTAGCAATGTCATCTTCAGTTGTTTGATTAGTTAAATTATCCATCCTTCAATCATAAATTTCAGGGAATGAACAGAATGAAATGTGAGTGTGATTACTACATATTCCATTTTCACTGCATTACCACCTTATTTGAGAACTATGATTGTTATTCCTATCATCATCATTTTCAGCATCATCGATGATATCTGATAGCTCTAGTATCTCTTCCACATACGCAATTGGACTTGTCACTTGATCATACGTAGTAACTTTGGTTTTCTTTCCCTCCTGACCCACAAGAGAATCTTTATCTTCTATAGTATCATCACTTAAGGGGTCTTTTTTTCTGAAATCCTTATTCTTAGACTCCATGTGATACTCACCAGAAGTTAGTGAAAGTTCCTTCCTAATAAGTTCGATAGGTGATATACAACTAGAAATAGGGCATAAGGGAAAACGTGTTTCTGATCGTATAATATGTTTTTCAAGACATATTTGATGGTATATATATTCACATGATAATACTGTGAATGAATGAAGTGGTAAGAGTAAGGCAAGAATTTCTTTATCGCAGAAGTGGCAAGGATTAAGTTTCGGGATATGTTTATCAGTTATTTCAGAAGTGTTTCTTAGGAAATTTAACGAAAGTGCTTTAAGTTGAAAAACCTCTGTATCATCCGCATGAATTTCTGAAGAACTTGCTGGTAGTTCGCTAGTCATACTGTTAAATCATAAAGAAGGTTTCTCGCTCTTTTTTCCTTACATAAATATTTATTCATATATCAAGACTAAAACAAAATTAGCCTTACCCTGAGAAAATTTATCTCAGAAATAAACGTCTCGGAAATGAGTATCTTGGAAATGAACATCTCAGAAATGAGCATCACAGAATGAAGATCACGAATAAATCAGGATCAATGATGAAAAGATATGTATAATACTAATTAATTAGTATTGTTCGATCTTGCCATAGCAGATAAAAAGACTATATCACCTTATCTTTATGTTATGATCCTTTTCAAACATATGTCACAAAAAAAGACTACTATACTCCCAGTTAAGGTTACAATCGTCGCAAAACATGAAAGCCCCTGAAACAAATATGGCAATCCCTCCTGAAGATCTTTGATCGAAGAAGAAAAGCTTTCCAATTATTTTTATATATTAACTCTAAAAAATATTTCACTAGACACTGGCTTATCTCCCGCAGTACTAAAGCTATAAGTGAGGAATTTATTTCCGAATTTCAGCTAACATTGCATCAATTTCAGCTAACATGGAATCCATTTCTATTGTCTGAAACTTTTGAGGGTCAGGTTGGGGTTTTAAACCCTTTGTCTCAGGAACAGATTCAGATTCATGATCAGATTCATGGTCAGATTCAGGATTATTGTCTTTTGACTCAGTATCACCTATAGCATAATTATCACCCACATCAAGGCGGTTAGATTCTTGCCTTAATGCGATTCTCAAAAGCAGTTTAAGATGCTGGGGAGTTGGATTCTTACCACCATGAATTCTGG